CTCTGTCTGCCTAACTTGAGAATCACTCAACTTTAGTGATTTAAATTTAAATATTATCTCTGCCTCACATGGAGGCCCTTGTTCAAATGAAATCTGACATTAAATCCTGATGTATGTGAAACAGAAATGAGTGAGCTGCTCAGTGGAAGAGGGCAGAGAGCTAAAGAGATGGCCCCAAACATCTCCTGCTCTTGAACTAGAGCTCTTTCCTGAGCCTTTCAAGGGTAAAAATCAAGTCGGAGCAGGGAAAGGAGAAAGGTAGGGCCTCTCTTGGAGGCCAGCCCATATACTTTCTTATCCCAGCTGTAAATTTCAATCCCCTACTCTTGAGTCCTAGAAACACCATTTCTCCTATTCTCTGCAGGCTCTGTAGCTGGCATAGGGTGGGAAGCAGGGGCAGCGAGGGTCCTGCTGCTGGAGCTCATACTTGCAGGGCCTGAGGGAGCTTCAGGTGCTGCACAGAGAGAGTTGTTCGTAGACTGTGAGTTTCGTGCTTCCAGGTGATCTTTGTGGGGTGAAGCCCATGCAGGAGGACACCAGGAGACCCCAGCAGGCAAAAAAGGTGAACAACAAATCCATCCCTGGGAGGGCCATCTAAGCATCAAGTTACTTTCTCTAGGCCTTTTAGGATCATTAAGTAATTCATACCACAAACCTGCACCTCAAGCCAACTGTGTGCAAAACAATATGGCCAGGGTGATGCAGTCTGAACAACCAGACTGAATGCTTGCCTCTTCCTTTACAGGTTCTAGACAGCGCCGACTGGACCAGTAACTGCCCTGTTCAGGAGCAAACTGCCCTGTTCAGGAGCACTGGAGCGCCCAAGATAGCTGTGTTATATTCTGGAGAGGGCAGGGCCCGGGCCCAGACAGATCTTTCTGTTCCCACACAAGATAAAGGTCTCCTTTTGCCCTCTCAATTTCCACTGCCGATCTCTCCAAGGCCTAAGGAATATTTTGTTCTAGATCACAATGACTTGTGGCTTCTGAGTGCCTTCCCAATTCTCGGCAGTTTCACTTCCTGGAATGCCACAGCCCCAGTTCTATGCCAGTGCTAGAGGCATGTCTAGGTATTTCCCCTGGATACCTCCTGGGCTGGAAACCTCGAGGGCATCTCAAACATTCCCTTGTCTCTCACCTCCCACAGCAGCAGCTCCCTGCTGATTCTACCTGCCCCCCCCCACTCTCACAAGTCAATTCTCTCCTCTTCATCCCACCAGCACTGATGGCGTCTCATGAGGCCAAGCGGCAAGCTGGTCTCCCTGCCTCTTGGTCCCTCTTACTCAGCTCCAGCCCCAGTCCATCTCACACTCTGCTGCCAGAGAGACTCCTCAAACATGTTTCTGGTAACATAACTTTCCTGTTTTAAACCCTCTCCAGCCTCCCGTCACGGACAGAAAAAAGTTGGTGGTTTGGCATGCATCACGTGGGCTCCCCTGCCTTTCTAGGTTTAGCTCCTGCTCCTCTCCCTTGCCTGGCCCCAGACTGTGTTCTGACCACACAAGTCCACTCGAGGCTGCTCAATCAGCTCCCAAATTCCAGGTCTTGGCTCCAGCTTTTCCTTCCACGTTGAATGTTTTGCTCTCATTTGGGCTGCATCTCTCCCTTCCTTTGGGCCAGCGCAACTCTCAATACCTTTCCTAGGCCCCACAGTCAGAATGCACCTTGTATTTCCCACATTCCTCCAGCAGGCTGCTAGGAGAAAGTCTGAGAGCAAAGCTCTTTCTGTCTGCAGCCCTCACTGACAGCATAAGATCACAGAAGCATAGAGTTCTTGTTGTTGTTTCTTTCTTTAGAGAAAAATAGCACATCGATTTTAATTTTTTATTGTAATTTTAACTTCTCAAAGAAGACAATAAATATTAACATAATTTAATAATATTATTTTACAGTGGCATTTATTAAACCACTGATTTAGGGACAAATAAACAACATGTATTTTTTAAAGGTATTCAAGATTCAACGGTGAATTAATTAATAATTAATAATTAACTTAGAACACCAAAGAGAAAAATATCAGTAGTGTAGTCTACAAAATCCTTGTAAGCTGAAGAAATGTGAAAAGTTACCATCAGCTGCTTCATATCCTTGAGTGATGTTAAAATAAGACAGGATTGTTCTGATGAAGCAACTGCCTGACTTCTGACAGATGCAAAAACTCAGGGGGTGATTCTCAGTCCATAGCTACCTTTCAGTCTAAAGCAAAAAGATATGTATTTTATGCATCAGAAAATCAAGCTGTATCACAAAGTTTCTAAATACCAATAATCAGACAGAACAGAGCGTACACGGGGACGTGCTGCTTGGTCTGAATGGGTGCCGCCACACGTTGCTGAGATCTTTGAATGTGAGGAATCTGGCTTGAATTTGATGTTTTTAGATACAAAAATTAATTCAAAATGAGTTTTAAAAAAAGGGAGAAGCAAGATATTTTAATATGATTTAGAGGAAACAAGTCATGCTGGGTGCTGAGTTATTTATTGATAAACCATTCAGATGGTCTATCAATATTTACTATATTGGTCTTTTCTAGTTGTGAATTGGATTTTTAAAAAATATTTTATCTTGATATAATTTCAAATATACAGAAAAGATACAAGGATAGCAACTTTATATTTATGTTTAACATTTATATGTCCGTATAGGTTTTTTTTTTTCCCCGAGCCATTTGAGAGTGAGTTGTTAAGTGTCATGTCTCCTTAAATATTTCAGTGTGAATTTCGTAAGAATAAAAATATTCCCTTACAAAACCACAGGATAGTTATCAAATTCAGAAAATCTAATATTGATTTTATTCTACAGACAATATTCTGATGTTATGAGTTGTTTTAATAATTTCCTAGAAGGCTTTTCTCCCTGGTATAGGATCTGGTTTAACTAAACTACATCTAGTTGTTATAGAATTCTTGTATTTTTCACGCCTGACATCCGTGTTATTAGATCAAGATGAAGAATAAAATAGATGAGTAGACTTTTTATGTACTTTATCCCTTCAGAGGTCTCATACATGGGGTTTTACATGCAGAAGGCAATCAATATATAATTACTGATTGCTCTTTTGTAAGAAAAAGCTCAAACTATAAGGAAGGGAGAACATGGTAATATGGTTTTACTATAAATGAACTTGCAAAGTTTTTGAAAGAAATAGAAGTAGTAGGGCAAATACTATAGATTAAAGATTAAGAAGGAAGAATTCCACCTATGATTTCATCATGAAATTATCTTTCCCATCCTTAGTGGAGAAGGCCCTAGAGAAACCTACTGAGTATTATTTTCTTTTTCTTTCTTTCTTTTTTTTTTTTTGAGACAGAGTCTCGCTTTGTTGCCCAGGCTAGAGTGAGTATCATGGCGTCAGCCTAGCTCACAGCAACCTCAAACTCCTGGGCTCAAGCAATCCTACTGTCTCAGCCTCCCAAATAGCTAGGACTACAGGCATGTGCCACCATCCCCAGCTAATTTTTTCTATATATATTAGTTGGCCAATTAATTTCTTTCTATTTTTTTTTATAGTAGAGATGGGGGCTCGCTCTTGGTTCAGGCTGGTTTCGAACTCCTGACCTCGAGCAATCCGCCCGCCTTGGCCTCCCAGAGTGCTAGGATTACAGGTGTGAGCCACTGTGCCCGGCCCTGCGTATTATTTTCTACCACATATTTACTGAACACTCGCTGGGTGCCCTGTGTCCTTCTAAGAACAGCTGCAACTGAGAAAAGGAATGAATCACTAAAGGCAGAATTTCTGGCAGTGGGGGAGTCTGGCAGGTTGGGGGCTGGAGCGAGGTGGGTGGGGGAAGCCAGCGTGCACACCCCTTGCAGCACCATTAGAATACTTTCCCACCAAGAGGCAGAACTGATACTGGCTAAGCCCACCCTGGTGTACTATCACTGAGAGATTATTCAAAAACTAGCTTCTTCCATGTAGGCAGAGAAACATACACAGATTTTCATGACTGAGGACTCAAACAATGGAAAGTTCACACACTGAAGGAAGCTTCCAGGGAACACGGTCCAGAGAATGGTCTCAGCTGCCCTAGCCACAGGGATGAGGGGCCCTGAATCAGCTGCAAACACTATGGCTACTTCCTCTCTCATGCTGCTGTCCATGAAGGTGAACTTCTTTGCTTGGCTTGTGAACCCCCTTGGTTCAAAATGGTGTTCTTGCTTCTCGTTGGGATGGCTGACCCAGAGACCTTTCCTGATACCCAGCCCCAATCACAGGGAATCCAAGTCCACTAACACAGTCACTCTCGAGGAGGGCCACTTGTCCAGAGGTGTGACCTTGCTTCTACTCCACCCGCCCCTGTCTTTTCCATCCAGCAGCTCATTTTCTACTCGCAGCCAGAGCTCCCTTCTGCTGCCATAGCATTTGCCTGCACATACAGATAGTCACAGGGCTGAGGGCTGCAAGAGCTCATATGTGGCTAGGAGCTCAGAACTACTCATCTCAGCTGCTCTTCCTTCTATTCCCCTCCTGCCTCCTGGGTTAATATCGCCACCAAAGGAGGAGCCAAAGTACCAAGAGGAGAAACTTAACTTACACATAATCATGTGTCACTTTCTGTCACGTGTAAAAACTCACATAGGAATAAAATGATGGATCCGTAATTCTTAAGGGATGTACCCACACAGATAATCGAGACTTGGCCTTATTTAAAATGGATGACAATGTAATTAGCAAAAGACCAAACACTGTTTATTAAATTTCTACCTTCATACACAATTTTTCTCTAGGATGTCCCAGAGCAGAGGTCAGCAAACCTTGGCTAGCAGATCAAGTCTGAGAACTGCCTGCTTTGTAAATAAAGTTTTACTGGAACAAAGTTATGCCCGTTTGTTTACCTATTGTTTACAGCCGCTTTCCCACTAAAATGGCAGAATTGAGATAGAGACCAAATGGATAAGAAAGCCTAAAATATTCACTGTCTGGCTCTTTACAGAAAAGTGTGCTGCCCTCCTGTCTTAGAGCAACACAGCAATGCAAAAGGATAAGAATGAGATAGATACCTGTGGCTTGGCAGGTGTTTTCTTGTGACATGGCCATCGTCACCGTTTCCGTGGCTGCATCTCTGACGGCTTGCTCCTCACTCTGCAAGAGGGTAAGGACACACCTCCAGAGAGCAAGCGTATCCTGCAACTCTAAGAAAACCAAAAGGAATCTGAATTAACTAGAATGCACTTGACAGGCAAATACCACTTCAAACCCCTGGTGGAAGAGAGCAGCACTGAATGAGCAACAGCAAAGCTGGATGACCTAAGAGTTAGAAAAAATGCTGGAAAAGAGAAAGCCCTGAGAAGGACTATTTGGAAATGTCTTTTTTGGGGGTGGGGAAGTAGGCTTTCTGGAGGCAACCAAGGCCCCTGGAAGGTGCTGCCCAGCTGACAAGTGCCCTGGGCCCCACTGTGTCCAGTGAGTCATGATTCTTAAGAATGAAACTTAATGCATTAAGATTGCGTTGGGGAAACTCTCACAGTGTTGATTTGAGTGTTTGAGCTTACAAATTCTGAAACCAAAATACCAATCAAAATTATGCTTTAGGAGCAAGAATCAAAAAAAGGGAAAGACCCATGATTAAGGCACTAGCCCATGTCCCATGTACGTGGGGTCTACTCTCTGACTGCATTACCCCTGGGCACTGACTCTGTCCAGTCAGCCTGTGCTAGGTGCTGCTGTGGATGATGAGCAGGAAAGGACAGTATCTGCCTCTGAGCAACTGAAAGGAATGTCAAGTCAAGAATACCAGGCAATGAGTTGTCAAGAATGAAACTGTGTGGCTGTGATTCACAATGGGGAAAGCTCACAGCGGACTGCTGTAACTGAGACAGACTTCGTGAGGAGGTGAGAGTGAGCAGGGCTTCACAGACAAGATACCTGTTGTGCAGGTGAGGCTTGTGGAGGGCTGCTAATAGAGGGCCATGGAAGACCACCACACAGCATCCCTATCCTTTCAACGTGGAAACCACCCTGTGCTAAGAAGCCCTCTCTGTCTACCTGCTCCCTCATCTATGCATGGAGAACTGTGTCAGAGTCACTGACACTTTAGTCATACTGAGAACAGCATTGGCTCCATTTGGGGTTTCATTTGCATCTTTCTGCTGCAGATCTGGCTTTACGTTTTACTCAGTCTTTTAGGATCCGTTCTTTCTAATTGTTCTCTAGGGCTTACTACTTTCCTTTCTTGATATTTTCTGCTTTAACATGGTCATCAATACCCCTAATATCCTGCCCTCTTTAGTCCATTTCAGGTTTTATTTTTCCTTAAATGACTTTGCTCTGTCCTTGACTTGTCCCCATGCACATTTGTCCTCTGTTTCTACCTATTTTTTGTGTTGGGTCATCAGCCACTATCAGTCTCCTTCCTCATTTCCTATAATGCCATAACTAGCATCAGCAATTAATTAGGAACCAGTTGCTTTGGTCCAGGACCCAATTTCACACAGGAATTCCAGGTTATTCTATATACATTTGGCCTGTTATGAGCTAGGGTCAGAGTAGTCAAAGTCACCAGAAATGTGCAACAAAAATGATATTAACCTTACTGGAGAAGCTTGACCAAAGTTTATAAGCTTTTGCTCTTACTGCTCTGGGTCCAATGATTAAATCACAATCATAAAAGGTTCCCTCTCGATCTCCCTTTTGCGTGTAAAGAAAAATGCCTGGAAGTCACTAAGAAGAAAGAAGTGAAAGTATATCAAAGAAAACTTTGTTTTCCAGGTATCTATAGGGATGTAAGACACTTCATTGGTCTGAACTTCTATAACACTTAAATTTGAATCTCACCATCTAAAAAACAATTATTTCCTTTAATGTATAAATTCTTTCTCTACAACTATACTGAAAGCTTCTTGAAGGCAGGGAACATGTCTTATTCTTGAGGTCTGGGCGTGGAAAAGGTAAACAAAAGGAGAATTCCACTAATAGATGGGAAGAGAATCATAGCATGACAATATGGGATTCACATAGCAGGAGAGGACAAGGTCAGGACTGAAGCATGGCTTTAGGTCCTCAGTTTTCCTTTAAACTCTATGCTTAAAAACAAAACAAAAAATACAATATAAATATTAAAACAAAACAACAAAACACCTATGTTTTTAATTCCTTAGGATTTCCTCAAGCTTGGTTTTCTTAAACATCATCAACATGATGCCCCTTCCTGGTTATTACTCTTGCAGCAAGAGGGTGACGGTGAGGAAAGAGACATGGACATGTATAACCTACTGGAAACCAGCTATGATCTGTACATCCATTTGATTTCAAAATATCTCCACCTTTCTATCCCAAAGATACCTTCAACTTAAACCAAATTGAGTGGCAGGAACCAGCAGCCTATCTAGTCACTGAAGCCATATGCCTGGGTGTTATTCTGAACCTTTCTTTTACATCAACCTCAATATCACCAAGTCCTATTGATTCTACTTCCTAAACATCTTTTCGCCTATCTCTCTCCTTCCTGGCTGCCATGGCTTCACAGTGATCCATTCATTTGTCACCTAGATTACTGCAGTAGGCTTCCTGGAAGCGGGGACAGTTAGGCTGAGTCTTGAAAGACAAACAGAAGGCAGTCAAGCAGTGGTCAGGCAGCGACTCATAAGGCTAGGGCCTATCAGCCATGGTAAATGGTGTTTAGATTTTATCCTGCCCATCTCAGGAAGGAGGTGCAAAGAAAAAAATAGATTTCATCTTGAAGGGAATAGGAAGCCACACAAAGTTTTAAGCAGTGGACTGAAATGATGATATTTGCATTTCAGAAAGGCTACAGATGTTCTTTAGAAGCTTTGTGGAGAATCATTTAGGGGATAAGATTGAAAGAAAAGAGGCTGGTTAAGAGGTTATTGGTGAAAACCATCAGAGTATGAACTAAGGGCAGGAATCATCTGAAAGATGTAAAGGCAATTACATCTTCCCTTCTTTCTGAGGCTAGAATATCTATTCATGCTTTTAGTGAGTTTAATACAGTGGACTCCCCCCTCAGCACACTTACCAAGAACAGGATGGGGGTTGGTGAGGAAAAATGGTGTCATGCTGGTGAGGACCTCAGCAGCAGCCAGCCTAGACCCTGTGGGGAGATGGTCTCCACAGGACAAGACGATCAGCTGAACCCACCGCTTCAGCTCGGGGGCTATTGAATCCCTGTTCTGAAAGTACAAAATGTATCTATCAGTAGTTCAGAAGATGCAACCATGGGCTGACATGGAATTAGGAATGAACTACTCCAAATGGGCCTGCAAATAGCTCTTACCTCAGTGGGAAGAAAGTTGTTTTTCAGTTGTGTTTCTATCCTAACTAGGGAGAAATAAAAAAGCCCAAGAAAGAAAATCTGACTTGTCTTTTAGTAAGTAATATGGAGTCACTGTAACTAGACAGCAAGTTCCTTGAGTCTTTTCTGATGCAAATCAAGTCATCAGAAAACTGGTGTATCTGATAGCTCCATTAAAGACCAAGCTTGTGGGGAAAGACTGGCAGCAAATAATAACTCAAAGTCCCCAATAATCAGACACTTCTCTTTAGTAACAGAACCCCTGATTTTTGGCTAGACCCATGGGCATGTACATTTTCTAGCCTCCCTTGCATCTGGAAGTAATGTGATTAAGTTCTGACTAATGGGATGACACTACAAGTGGTATCTGTGCACCTTCGGGCCACGCCTTAGGAAGTGCCCAAGATCTTCACTTTCTAGGTTTCCTCTTCCTGCTAGCTGAACAAGGACAGGATGGTGGGAGCTGGAGCAACCAGCTGGGACCATAAGGTGGAAGCCACATGTTGAGGACAGCACAACAACAAAGGAGAAGAACCTGATGGCTCAACACTGTCAAGTCACCATGGACTGCTTCTATCTGGTTTAAGCCACAGTATTTATGAGTTTCTGCTATAACATTTAAAGTAGCATCTAACTAACACTATTGTTAAAACAAAGCCCTGCTGTTGTTTTTAATAGTAATGGCTTTGCTGATATTTAGTTCACATATCATAAAATTCACCCATTTAAAGTGGACAATTCAATGAATGCTGATATATTCACAGATATGAGCAATCACCACCAAAGTCAATTTCAGATAATTTTCATCACCACGAACTGTGCGCTCTTTAGCTATCACTCTCCCATCTGCCCATCCCTAAAAACCACTAGTCTACTTTCTGTCTCTATGAATTTGCCTATTCTGGACATTTCCCATAAATGGGATCATACAATATGTGATCGTTTGTGACTGGCTTCTTTCGCTTAGCACACTGTTTTCAAGGTTGATCCGTATTGTAGCATGTGTCAGTACTTCATTCCATTGTATGGATGTACCACATTTTGTTACTCATTCATCAGTTGATAAACATCTGGATTGTTTTCAATTCTGCTTTTTCATTTTTTCTAGAAAGGGTATATTGTTCCAGATGTACTTTACTTCCCCTATCAATTGGGTCTCTTTAAATGTTAAAAATGTGACTACTGCTTTTTTTGATAACCTCTGGGCAGCCACTGAACTGAACTGATGAGCATCTTAGACCCTGAGGAAGATGCTAACTTGTACTGTACAAAGAAACCCAGGTTTCTCCAGGAACTTCTTTTATGTATTTCTCTACAGTTTTGTTAACTTTTTTTCTCCCTAGAAAACTCTCAAGTTTCATTAAATATCACTTCATTCAAGTATCAAGCAGTGCATTTAAAGTACACATGATAACTGGTTAAAAACAGCTTCAAATAAGAATGATGACTTTGGCAGGCTTGTTAGGCTGCCTTGTGACTACTTTCTTAGAACTTGGTGTGTTTTTCTCTAGGCTACAGATTTTTAATAAATCATCTTCTTTCTTACACTCTCCCCACCCTACCTGACCTTTTTTTGGCTTTTTGTATCTCCTACTGATCGAGGTTTGGTCTCAGATCCAAGAAAATCATTCATTTGCTTGTTAATTCTCACCCTCTGGTTTTATCTGTGCCCAGCCCCAAGCTCTCTGAACTTAACAACCTCCTTTATGAAGTTTTTTCTCAGCTCCCAAACGCTCCATCCCTCCCCTCTGGGTTCCTACAGCCCCTGTATACCTTCTTACTAGAATGTTTAATGGAATTATCTAATGCTGTCTTTCTTTCATTAAACCATACCTCTTGTCTCTGTTCATCTTTGTACCTTCAGTATCTATCTCAGGGCTAGGTTTATTACAAGGACTCAGAATCCACAATGTTATGCCACCACTATCACAATGTGGTTGTGTAATCAAGATCTTCAGGTAATTTTCCTGCAGTACTAGCTGCCTTCTACTTGTTAATATAATCCTATGATGATGCTACCTTTGTTATATGCACCTAAATATGCATGTATTTGTCTTAAGGCATCTTCCCAGGAAGCTGTTTTTCTTATTTTAGTTCCACCTTACCCCCAAAGGACATGTGAAACAGGTGGGACACATCTGGGCCTCCATCCAGAGCCAGCTGGGCCATGTTCTGGGGGAACATTTAAGCCTTAGCAATATGTTTTCATGCTTAGTTCACCAGGTTGCAATCCTAAATATTCTAGGAATTGACTTGCTTATTCCTCTTTAGATTAAGAGTCTAGCTAGAAAAATGGAGAAAAAGCAAGGGGTTTGGGCATATGAGTGTTTTGGGGAAGGTTGTGTTAACCTCATGGATGCTAATCAAAAATGCTGAAAACAAGAGAAAAGAAAGGTGGTACTCAAAAAAGTCTTCACAATTTATACCCAAAGTGAAAAAACCAATACAAACAATAATTTTGTAGGGGCTACACATACACATCATAGTGATTCTGCCTGCTGAGACAGTTCACTTTTACTGACAGCTTCCAGGTAAATAAGAGCGCAAAAACCAGGCCCCAGATAGGAACAGAATCAGCCTTACCTCTGCACGTGTCTGCATGTGATGGGCAATCACTTTGGAGGCAAGCCTCAAAGCTACGTTCTGAATTTCAGATCTAGAAAAAGCAAAAAACCAAAAACACACACACACACACAAATAAAATCAAACATATCTTATACACAGATTGTTCTTGCAAATAGTCTGTAATCCTTGCATATGTGAATACCAAAAATATCTACCTCCTGGTTATATAAATGCTCCAGAAGTGATTATCTTTGGGGTATTAGTGTGAAACTCTGACATCATTCCAATGCTTGAGTTTAGAACACAGCTTTTAGGCTGAGGCCTAGAACAAAATCCAAGACCTGAGTCCCAAGGCCAGGATTGTGAGCACGTTCATTACATAATGACTGATGAAACCATACACTCTACCAAGGGCACACCGGGAACACTGGGGGCAAACCTTTCATTAGAAGCAATATCCATCGTCCAAATCAAGAACTCCTTTGGGGTTAGATGGATACAGCGCTCTGTCTGGGGAAGCCACTCGCTGGGGTCCATGTGATAAAGAATTTTCAGTATCTGTATGAGCCAATCCATGAAAGAAAAAAAGAAAGAAATACTTAGGAAAAAGTCTCCAGATGCTAAATAAAAATCACTTGTATCAACAAGGGCATCTATCTTTCCAAAGGCTCCCACTGACTTCTTATTGCCTGTTATACCTTTAGGAGACTGAGGAAGAGAAGAGCAATGACTAGCCAGAGGGCCCCCAGTGACTTGGGGTTAGAGCTAAATGCCCAGATTCCTAGGGCAGTGCTCCTTCTTTTTGATTATGCTTTCCAGGTGGCCATCCGTTCCCAAATAGCCATGTCAGCAGAGACTTCCTCTGACACATACAGCTAATTGTCAATGATCTGTTTCCTAAACATCCCAAAGTGGCTTGCTCTGTCTTTGGTTAATCTCTGCCATCAATACCACTATCATCAAAAGCTTTTCTTAGTGTCCTTTTATGCATGAAACCATGCCAACCACCATACAAAGAGAGTCCTTATGCTCTAGGTGCTGAATCTACTTCCTATTGCCCCTGGAGAGCCCAAACCCAATCTTGCCTTCATGACTTTACCATTCTGGTGCCTTGCCAAAGAACGTGGGGAGTGGAAAGGGATGGTTATCAGAGACTTTACCTTGCAGAAGCATTCTGAGTGAGTTTCCTTCATTGCCAAAAGCAAGAACTTCTCTCCCATGTTGCACAGCAAGGCTGGAAGTCCCTTCTCTTCTAATCCAGAGGCTGCTAATGAGAACCTGTCCAACAGGGCTTCGAGTGTCAGTGAGCGCACTTCAGGGAACGCAGACTCTAGCAGCTGAGAGAAGGAGATGGGAACATTCCTTGTCTGCTCCCCACTCTTGGCCACCACTGCTGACACTGCAGCGATGGCTAGTCTGGTGAGGCTCTGGAGGTACTGAGGCAGACCTGGCATCTTGAAGGTACAGGGGAATCCTGTTATCAGCTCTGATCCTGAGATAATCCCTCTGACTTCCTCCCAGAAGCCAGGACTCTCCAGAACTAAAAAGCAAAAAAATAAGGGCAAGAGGCAATCATTTAAGTTTCCACAAAAGGACATAGGAGAATAGAAGGCTATGAGTACACTGAACCATCAGATGTCTTTCCTAAGTAGATTTCAAACAAGCAGTGTAATAATTGACTAGCCCACTAAGGTCCAGACATCTGGCCCAGAAACAATTTCTATTTAGATTATTCATAATTTTTCTCCCAGGTGGACAAAGGCATTATCATCAGAAGATGCACTCCTGACAGTCTTCCTTAACATCCAATAAATATGAATTCAGTGACCTCTTAAATCACTGAGCCTCAAAGTTGATCAGGAGAAAAGGACATCTAGTCCAAACTTCCTTCAGGGTCTCAGATCCTCTCTACATACCTCTTCTCAGAGGCTACTGGCTGAACCCTACAGTGACCTGGAGCCCATGAGACAGCATATTCCATTGTTAGTAGATGTAATTATCACAAAGTTCTTTTTGGAGTTTCTACTCATTGGCCTAATTCTGCATTTTGAGGCTCCCAATGATAGCCCTTTGGGCATTTGGTTACAATTATTGTGCCCCCTTTGTCTTCTCCAGATGAAACACCCCTCTTTCCTTCCCCATATGACAAGGTTCACCTTCTCTCATTACTAGATGCCTTCCTTTGGACATGCCCCACCCTCTCTTAAAGCAGGACCACAGAATGGGTCATGGCTCTCCTGTAGGACTGTTACTTTCCCTGTTCTGAATGCTAGCTTACTGGAGCTGCATGCATCACACTGTTGACTCATAAAGTCAACTGAAACCACAGCCCTTCTTTTTTTTTTTTACATGATCTACTGATGGTGGTGAGTCATCTTTCTTCCACCTTGTACTCAATACTTAGGGCGAGACTTGTTCTCTTTGTTTGTTTGTTTTAAATCTAAGTATACCCGTTAACTTTTATTTTAAATTTTAGTTGCTGAAATCTTTTCGAATTCTTGTTTCTGATCAAAAACCTTATTGCCTGCTTACTATGTGCTAGTAAATATTAATAAAATCAAGAGTTTTTGGTCTAGTTTGAGAAAGAGAAATGCATAAGCACATAATTCCAGTCAATATAGTGGTATAAATGATAACCTGAGTCTCAATGGGGAAGCCAGGTGAGAACGTGTTGGAACCACCAAAGGCAGAGGAAGCACCTGAGCAAGGGCTTAATGAAGGTATGAAACAGAATGCACCACGTGGGTAACTATGGGCCACCTGATCTCACTAGGGCAGAAAATTTGAGGTGGGAAAGGGCAACAGATGAGAAGAAATGTGGCCAAGACACAGTCTCATGGACAATGGTAGGAGCCTGGATATTCTCCTATAGGCAAGGGAATAGCACTGAGGGGTTATTTTAAGTGACAAAGTCAGGGCACATTTTTGCTGAAGTGCTCTTATTGCTGAGGGGCAATATTAGAAGCAGGGAGACCAGTTTACCTTGGAGTGGCTTACTAGACAGCATTTCAGTTAGACCATTTTAGAGCTTATAAAGCACTGTTTATGTTCGTCATCTCATTATAACACAGTGAACCCTGATGACTTACAGAAAGGTAACATAAACAAAATGGAAATGTAAATCATGAAGGTAATACTTGAAAAAACTTATTTGAGATTGAAAAATTGCATAGGCTTGCAATAATCTAGGAATTAAAAATACAGAATGTTCATGTAATACATCAAATTGTTTTCAAAAGAAGTTGCCCCAGGAGGCAAAACAGGGACTCGACTAGGGCCCCAATATGATGGTATCCCATGGAGGCCACCACCCACCATCTGCAATTACACATACACCTCTGCTCTTAACTCAGATGCCATGGAAGTCCCACCTTAACAGGAGGCGGTCATCTTTATAAAGCACCAGGGAAACCCCAGGCAGTTAGGAAAACCTTCGTGTCATCTCTATTTTCAATGCCTAAAAGCCTAATTCCGCTACAATTTAGTAATGAGAAGACCACAGTACTGTGGTTTCCAGGTACCGTTTCCCTATCCTTCCCACCCACTGCTGACTGAGGACAACACTGGTTACAAAGGAATTTCACTAGTTTGGCAAAGAGTCAGAAACATGGCTCAGAGATCTGCTCTTAAAAATGTAATTAAAAACAAGAACTGTCTCCGCCACATTAGATAATCTTCATTCTGAAAGAGGGTTATTATTCTAAGTTGAATGTATAGTCCACTGGACTCAAGAGCTGGGCACCCAGACCCACTAGCTTCCTGGGGCCCTGAGGAGGGCTAATATAACCAAGAAGCCAGGGACGGAAGGCACGACTCCAAAGAAGCAGGAGATGGGGAATGTGCTCAGGAAGGGTTCCTTTGGGACTTCTTGACTTACACTGCCTGCAGCCTTCAGCATAATTCCATAAACATTTATTGAGTTAAGCATCTCTAATCCAAAATGCTCTAAAATCTGAAACTTTCTGAGCACCAACATGATACCACAAGTGGACCCCTGACCTCATATGATGGCCATAGTCAAAACGCAGGTAGATGTACAACACATAGTTTATTCAGCGTGGCCAAGGGAAAAATAAAAGTACCTTCAGGTTATGTGTCTAGGGTGTATATGACACATAAACTAATTGTATGTTTAGACTTGGGTTCCTACTCAAGATATCTCATCATGTATATGCAAATATTTCAAAATCCGAAAAATCCCCAAATCTGAAATACTTCTGGTCCCAAGCATATTGGATTAGGGATACTCAACCTATGTTAGATACTTCGCAAGATATAGAAATTCAGAGTTGAGAAAGAAAAAGATCTTTCTGTCAAAGACTAATGAGAAGATAAAAGACAAGTATAAAATAATAATAAGACAACTATAAAAACTGCAAAATGCTTGGTGCCCTAAAATTGTTAGTGATAAAGCTGACATTTGTTGAGTATTTGTGTGCCATGTATTAGTCTGTTATTATAGAATATTATATAGTTAATATTTAATGCTATGAACAAAAATTACTTTTAGAATTGACATGAGTATTATTCTGAACACTTTAACACGTACTGACTCACTCATGAGATAGGCTCTATTATTATTATTTTATTATCAAACCATTTTACAGATGAGGAAACAGAGAGGTTATTTGCTCAAGGTCCCAAAGGAAATGGTAGGTAAAAAGAACCTATACAGGGCTATCAGACAGACCAAAATGAATGCAATGGGTACTTATTTTCTACTGGAAGAAGTTGAAAAAAGGCTTTCAGGAGAAAAAAAAATTTAAGATGGGCCCTGAAGGCTGCCAAGGTGTCTGCCTGGGAGAGGAAGGGAAAGGGCAAACACTCCAGGGAGAGACTTAGAAGAGAACAGACACAGAAAGACCTTGCAGCAGGCTTGCTGAATGAATGTGGCAACAGTGGAGGAGAAAAAGAGGTCAGGTCTGAGCCAAAAGGTAGAAAATTATCAAGTGCCATTCACTTAGACACTTTCTCCAAACTGCTACTTGGAAAAAATATCCTCTGTTGTGCAGCAGCTAGGACCCACAGAGATGCCCTAAAGAAGAGCTTCTCAAGCTCAAGTGTGCCTCAGAATCCCTGGAGGGCTTGTTTAACCACAGGCGGCTTCCTGGGCCTCACCCTGAGTTTCTGATTCAGGAGGTCTGAGGTGAGGGCTGATGATCTGCATTAACAAGCTCGCAGGTGAAGCTGCTGCTACTGATTCAGGTATTTTGAAAACCACTGCCTTCAAGTAAAGGTAATAACCAAGGCTATTAAAACCACACATGCCCGAATCCCACTCTGGTAGATTCTGATTCCGTTGGTTTCAAGCTGGGCGCAGACGACTATAATCTTAAAAACCCAGCAGGTAATTCTGCTATGCACCCCAGCTGAGAACCACACCCCGAAGTGCCAACTTTCATAGGGCTTTGTAGGGTTTATGGGTGGGTAGGTAGGGGGTTGGAGTTCCAAGCCGAGTGCAGCTGGTTCCAGCTCTGTACTTCACAGTAGTGAAGAACTAAAAAATTTACCACACCCCACTTACTCTTGAAACAAAACAAAACACATACACACACACCAAAACACCAAAGGACAGAAAATGACCAAGAATTCAAAAGAACAAATAAGCACTCTAAAGTGCTTATTTGGCACTGGCAGGCAGGCAAGGCCTTCCACAATGTATTAACACACGTTGGCTCACTATGTACAGGTTCTGTTTTAGGTCTCGAATGTAGCAGTGAGTTAGAAAGACCAGGCTCTGTTCCCATGAAGCTATTTGGGTGGGACCACAGGAACCACCTCCCTCTCAATACCCAGACCAAGGGGGTCTCTAAGTGCGACAGGAGGTTAGAGGTAGAAATGCCCAACACGTCAACACAAGTTGCTGCCGTGTCTAACAAAGAACGTTGCTTTCCTCTCACACAGTGATTCTCAGCCCAAGAAGCACATTAAATTCATCTGACAGCTTTAGAAAAACACTTATGTCGGAGGACACCTGGCCACGTTTCTGAGGAGAGTCCTGGCAGTCTGATTTTAAAGTGAATGAGGTGCAGCTACTGTTTTAGTGGCTCTACAGCCCACTGGAGGTAGAGCTCGTCCAATGGTTTTCACAACCAGGACGGATCTCTCCCGGGTGAAGCAGTGTTTGTGTCCTCCCATACCAAATCTATTTCAAAGTCTAGATCAACACATGGTACTTATTTTCATTTCTATGAGTGCCTTTTGTCTGCAGGACACAAAGAACTGAAGTAAATTCCTTAGTCTGAAGTTTAGCAGCCCTCTACTCTAGCAGATTGTAATTTTTAAACCTTAACTTTTCTACTTGCAATCTCAATTTTGATTGCTTTGGATTTCTTTTTTTTTTGGAAAGCCCAAATATTCCAGTGAAAGACTCAAGTCCCTGCTTTAATGGCCCCATCATATTTTTCATAAGTTAGAAACGATTTCTGCAAACCCTTATTGGTTGGAGCTTTTTCCAGCCCTCCTTGTTTGGAAAGTCTTTGCATGTTCCCGCTAGTGCAGTCATCTCAGCTACTCAAGGATGTGTGGCTGATTCTAAAC